GTGCCTCCATATCTCCATGTTGTACCAGTGTATTATCCATGTGCCGCCCATATCTCCGTGCTCTACCAGTGTATTATCCATGTGCCCATATCTCCATATGTTCTCTACCAGTGTATTATCCATGTGCCGCCCATATCTCCGTTCTCTACCAGTGTATTATCCATGTGCCTGATATCTCCGTGCTCTACCAGTGTATTATCCATGCCGCCCATATCTCCGTGCTCTCTACCAGTGTATTATCCATGTGCCGCCCATATCTCCGTGTTCTACCAGTGTATTATCCATGTGCCTCCCATATCTCCCGTGTTCTACCAGTACCATCCATGTTCCCATATCTCCATGTCTACCATGTGTGTATTATCCATGTGCCTCCGTATCTCCATTCTACCAGTGTATTATCCATGTGCCCATGTCTCCATGTCTTCCTTGTGTGTATTATCCATGTGTCATGCCCATATCTCCGTGTTCTCTACCATGTATTATCCATGTGCCTCCCATATCTCCGTGCTCTACCAGTGTATTATCCATGTGCCGCCCATATCTCCGTGTCTCTACCATGTGTGTATTATCCATGTGCCTCCGATATCTCCATGTTGTACCAGTGTATTATCCATGTGCCGCCCATATCTCCGTGCTCTACCAGTGTATTATCCATGTGCCTCCGATATCTCCGTGCTCTACCAGTGTATTATCCATGTGCCGCCCATATCTCCGTGTCTACCAGTGTATTATCCATGTGCTCCCTATCTCCGTGTTGTACCAGTGTATTATCCATGTGCCTCCCATATCTCCGTGCTCTACCAGTGTGCCTCCGATATCTCCGTGCTCTACCAGTGTATTATCCATGTGCCGCCCATATCTCCGTTTCTACTCAGTGGTATGTATCCATGTGCTCGCCCATATCTCCGTGCTCTACCAGTGTATTATCCTATGTCTCCATATCTGTGTCTACCAGTGTATTATCCATGTGCTCCGATGTTCCATGTGTACCAGTGTATTATCCATGTGCCCCATATCTCCGTGTGCTCTACCAGTGAAGTGTGCCTCCATATCTCCCATGTCCAGTGTATTATCCATGTGTCCCATATCTCCGTGTCTGCCAGTGTCTCCATGCCTCCCATATCTCCGTGCTCTACCAGTGTATTATCCATGTGCCGCCCATATCTCCGTTCTCTACCAGTGTATTATCCATGTGCCGCCCATTCTCCAGTGTATTATCCATGTGCCGCCCATATCTCCGTTCTCTACCAGTGTATTATCCATGTGCTGCCCATATCTCCGTGTCTACTTACCAGTGTATTATCCATGTGCCGCCCATATCTCCGTGCTCTACCAGTGTATGTATCCATGTGCCGCCCATATCTCCGTTCTACCAGTGTATTATCCATGTGCCGCCCATATCTCCGTGCTCTACCAGTGTCCATATCCATGTGCCGCCCATATCTCCGTGCCTCTACCAGTGTATTATCCATGTGCCGCCCATATCTCCCATCTCTACCAGTGTGTATCCATGTGCCGCCCATATCTCCGTGCTCTACCAGTGTATTATCCATGTGCCGCCCATATCTCCGTGCTCTACCAGTGTATTATCCATGTGTGCCCATATCTCCGTGTTCTACCAGTGTATTATCCATGTGCCTCCCATATCTCCGTGTCTCTACCAGTGTTATCCATGTCTCCGTGTTGCCCATATATCCATGTTATATCTCCGTTCTCTACCAGTGTATTATCCATGTGCTGCCCATATCTCCGTGCTCTACCAGTGTATTATCCATGCCGCCCATATCTCCGTGTGTACCAGTGTGTTTATCCATGTGTGCGCCCATATCTCCATGTTCTACCAGTGTATTATCCATGTGCCTGTATCTCCGTGCTCTACCAGTGTATTATCCATGTGCCTCCGATATCTCCGTGCTCTACCAGTGTATTATCCATGTGCCGCCCATATCTCCGTTCTCTACCAGTGTATTATCCATGTGCCTCCCATATCTCCGTGCTCTTGTACCAGTGTATTATCCATGTGCCGCCCATATCTCCGTTGCTTCCAGTGTTATCCATGTCTGTATGTGTGTCTACCAGTGTATTATCCATGTGCCGCCCATATCTCCGTGCTCTACCAGTGTGCCTCCGATATCTCCGTGCTCTACCAGTGTATTATCCATGTGCCGCCCATATCTCCGTGCTCTACCAGTGTATTATCCATGTGCCGCCCATATCTCCGTGTTGTACCAGTGTATTATCCATGTGCCATGCCCATATCTCCATGTTGTACCAGTGTATTATCCATGTGCCGCCCATATCTCCGTGCTCTACCAGTGTATTATCCATGTGCCGCCCATATCTCCGTTCTCTACCAGTGTATTATCCATGTGCCGACCATATCTCCGTGTTCTACCAGTGTATTATCCATGTGCCGCCCATATCTCCGTTCTCTACCAGTGTATTATCCATGTGCCGCCCATATCTCCGTGCTCTACCAGTGTATTATCCATGTGCCTCCCATATCTCCGTGTCTCTACCAGTGTATTATCCATGTGCCGCCCATATCTCCGTGCTCTACCAGTGTATTATCCATGTGCCGCCCATATCTCCATGTTGTACCAGTGTATTATCCATGTGCCGCCCATATCTCCGTTCTCTACCAGTGTATTATCCATGTGCCGCCCATATCTCCGTGCTCTACCAGTGTGCCGACCATATCTCCGTGTTGTACCAGTGTATTATCCATGTGCCATATCTCCGTTCTCTACCAGTGTATTATCCATGTGCCGCCCATATCTCCGTGCTCTACCAGTGTATTATCCATGTGCCGCCCATATCTCCGTGCTCTACCAGTGTATTATCCATGTGCCGCCCATATCTCCGTGTTCTACCAGTGTATTATCCATGTGCCGCCCATATCTCCGTGTCTCTACCAGTGTATTATCCATGTGCCGCCCATATCTCCGTGCTCTACCAGTGTATTATCCATGTGCCTCCCATATCTCCGTGCTCTACCAGTGTATTATCCATGTACCATATGTATTCTCCAGTGTATGTCCATGCCGCCCATATCTCCGTGCTCTACCAGTGTATTATCCATGTGCCGCCCATATCTCCGTGCTCTACCAGTGTATTATCCATGTGCCGCCCATATCTCCGTTCTCTACCAGTGTATTATCCATGTGCCGCCCATATCTCCGTGTTGTACCAGTGTATTATCCATGTGCCGCCCATATCTCCGTGCTCTACCAGTGTATTATCCATGTGCCCATATCTCCGTGTCTCTACCAGTGTATTATCCATGTGCCTCCCATATCTCCATGTTGTACCAGTGTATTATCCATGTGCCGCCCATATCTCCGTGCTCTACCAGTGTATTATCCATGTGCCTCCCATATCTCCATGTTGTACCAGTGTATTATCCATGTGCCGCCCATATCTCCGTGCTCTACCAGTGTATTATCCATGTGCCGCCCATATCTCCGTGTTCTACCAGTGTATTATCCATGTGCCTCCCATATCTCCGATGCTCTACCAGTGTATTATCCATGTGCCGCCCATATCTCCGTGCTCTACCAGTGTGCCTCCGATATCTCCGTGCTCTACCAGTGTATTATCCATGTGCCGCCCATATCTCCGTGCTCTACCAGTGTATTATCCATGTGCCGCCCATATCTCCGTTCTCTACCAGTGTATTATCCATGTGCCGCCCATATCTCCGTTCTCTACCAGTGTATTATCCATGTGCCGCCCATATCTCCGTGCTCTACCAGTGTATTATCCATGTGCCTCCCATATCTCCGTGTTGTACCAGTGTATTATCCATGTGCCGCCCATATCTCCATGTGCCTCCTACCAGTGTATTATCCATGTGCCGCCCATATCTCCGTGCTCTACCAGTGTATTATCCATGTGCCGCCCATATCTCCGTGTTGTACCAGTGTATTATCCATGTGCCGCCCATATCTCCGTGCTCTACCAGTGTATTATCCATGTGCCGCCCATATCTCCGTGTTCTACCAGTGTATTATCCATGTGCCGCCCATATCTCCGTGCTCTACCAGTGTATTATCCATGTGCCGCCCATATCTCCGTGTTCTACCAGTGTATTATCCATGTGCCGCCCATATCTCCATGTTGTACCAGTGTGTATTATCCATGTGTGTCCATATCTCCGTGTATCTCCAGTGTGTGTATGTGTGCCGCCCATATCTCTGTGTATGTATCCAGTGTGTCCATGTCTCCGTGTTGTGTCCAGTGTATTATCCATGTGCCGCCCATATCTCCGTGTGTCTACCAGTGTATTATCCATGTGCCTCCCATATCTCCATGTTGTGTGTATGTATCCATGTGTGCCTCCATATCTCCGTGCTCTACCAGTGTGTCCATTATCCATGTGCTGCCGCCCATATCTCCGTGCTCTACCAGTGTATTATCCATGTGCCGCTCCATATCTCCGTGTATCTGTCCATGTGCCTCCCATATCTCCGTTATCCAGTGTATTTATCCATGTGCCGCCCATATCTCCGTGTTCTACCAGTGTATTATCCATGTGCCGCCCATATGTATTATCCTTGTGTACCAGTGTATTATCCATGTACGCCCATCCTTGTGTCTCCACCAGTGTATTATCCATGTGCCGCCCATATGTGCCTCCAATGTGTCTACCAGTGTATTATCCATGTGCCGCCCATATCTCCGTTCTCCACCAGTGTATTATCCATGTGCCGCCCATATCTCCATGTTGTACCAGTGTATTATCCATGTGCCGACAATATGTCCGTGTTGTACCAGTGTGCTATCCATGTGTCTCCCATATGTTCATTGCTCTACCAGTGTGCCTCCCATATCTCCGTGCTCTACCAGTGTGCTTCCCATGTCTCCATGCTCTACCAGTGTGCTTCCCATGTCTCTGTGATCTACCCGTGTGCTATCCGTATGCCTACAATGTCTCCGTTTTCTACCACTGTGCTATGCATATGTTTTCCTTGTTCTAAGTTTAATGCTTATTTTCCCAGGAAGAGCATTTTAGCTCGTCAAGATCAACTGCAGGATTACCGGAAAACTACTGAAGAATCTGGCGGGAACATACACCTGCTACGTCAACAATCTTGTAGTGCGCCACCTGGTGGCCGTCAGAACTTCCGGCGGTTGACTATTGACAGATCAAGGACCATCAGCAGGCAATGCAAGGCGAGGTCAGGGGTTACGTCACTTGGTAGGTCATGCGGCAATATTGCTGTAAATGTTAACGCCAGTCGACCATTTGAGAAGTCGTCTTGTCGCCCAGTTAGTAGTGCGAGCTGCGAGCACCCCGCCAACGTCAGAACCATTATCAGCAGAGACAGCTTGACAGCAGCCTGCCTGGACGACGACTACGTCGACTCAGACCCAGACGAGAACCGTACGCATAAGTTTGTCAGAGACCATTTATCTTCCTCCTCATTACCTGCCGGCCCCAAAACATACTGTTGAAATGTCTGCTTCATCCTTCCTATAGGCCTACTGCAAGCGAGCCTCTTGTTCCACGAGACACCTAAACATGTCACCTGATGAGAGAAACTCGTTGAAATATATCCATATATAGATAAATCATATCACGTCGAATAACCAGTTCTTGTTTGTGGGTGTACGCCATCGCGGATTTAGAAGTCGAAAATGCATGAAATTATCACCATTGTTCCGATATCGTAAAACAGCCATAACATAGACCAACGGGCCCTGTAGACTGAACCAGGGTTTAGTTCTCTCTTCACATACCCATCGCGATAAGAATAGTTACGGCAAAGCTCGACAATATTTGATGACATGATCACATTGACCGTAATTGCAGAGAGAGAAAGCGGACACTAAGTCGTGTTTCCTAATTGTATTCATGCCATCAGCTTCACCATGTAAGACGTCCCTGGATGACGAGAGGCGCCATGTCTACCTGGCTGCCTGTCGGAGACTGAATGTTGTGCCTTCCTCAACCTACCTGAGATGCGTACGCAGCAAGGTCGTCAGACTGAACCACCAGGGCCTGACAGTTCGGCCAGTCAAGGCAGTGTGTGTATCACTTGTGGTAAGACGTCAACTGATCATTGTTGGTACCTTGAAGCCCCGTTAATCCAGCAAAAAGTGTTCTCTCATGGACGTCTATGCGTGCACACGTTTTCAATGTAGTAAATTATCTTTCTTGATTTTCGCTCACAGGAACACCATGGATTGGGCCAAATACGAGAAATATGCGATTTCTTACGATCTGAATTGTTCCACAGTTTACATGTTCCAGGAGGAGCTGGCGGTGACAGAGCTGGACTTGGCGAACAACGACATCGGGGACGCCGGTCTACGTTGTATAATCGACATGCTGCACCACAACTCGATAATACACGTGCTGGTGAGTCAGTTATACACGTGCTTGTGAGACAGTTATACACGTGCTGGTGGGTCAGTTACACACGTGCTGGTGAGTCAGTTATACACGTGCTGATGAGAGTTATACACGTGCTGGTGGGTCAGCTCACATAATACACGTGCTGGTGAGGCAGTAATACACGTTCTGGTTTGTCAGTGGTATACGTGACTGACACTGATACACGTGCCGACGATTAAATGATAACGTTTATAAGTTTATAACGTAGTAAGTCAATAATACATGTGATAGGATCAATAATTAACGCACTAATGAGCATGTAATAGACTTGATTGCAAGTAGCTTCTACACGGATATATCTCAGCGAATACGTGCTCCAGTTCCAACATTACGCACACTGTTTTGTTCCCCACGTCTACAGTGGACCTTCTGAAGTCGGACTTCCAGGGGACAACAGAACCTTCCCGCACTTGCCGTGGTCAGCCTGTCGGGCACTCGTGTTGACTGTATGAGTATCATACTGTTAGTTTGAACAAGTGTGGTGTTTATTGATGTAGTTGCTGCCGGTGTTACTATTTCTGTTGTTGCCGTTGTTGATGTAGTTGCTGCTGGTGTTACTATTTCTGTTGTTGCCGTTGTTGATGTTGTTGATATTGTTTCTACTGCTATTACTGTTATGTCGCGTCCTGGACACCGTCAGTTCCGTCAGTGCTATATTTCTTCACCGAGATCTCCACATAGATTGGTGTAGTGGTGAATGCTCCTTTTTGACTCTTTATTATACTTCAGTAAATAGAATATAGTTTCCATGGCAACACGTTTCAAATAGTTACATTTGGAACAAGTATTTACCTATGGAGGGTACATCGATGACTCTGTTTTCTTGTTGCCGTTCTACAGGACGTGTCCAACACCAATCTTCATACCCGCGGTGCCGCTATGTTGTCTAGTCTGTTGCTGGACAATGATTCACTGCAAGTCCTCAAGGCTGCTGGTGAGTTCCTAACGGAGAGCTGTTCATTTGCAGAACAATTTCAATACACAATGGGATTTAGAAAATGGCCAGGTATCTAACATGTGTACCCCTGTCATGACAGTAGTCTGTAGTATTCCGAGTATTACCCATGTGTTGTACTCTTTATAGGTGTCACGTGTAGAAATCCGAATGTGCATGTTTCACACAAGTAGTATTCTCTATATTTTACACACATGTAGTATTCTCTATATTTTACACACATGTAGTATTCTCTATATTTTACACACATGTAGTATTCTCTATATTTTACACACATGTAGTATTCTCTATATTTTACACACATGTAGTATTCTCTATATTTTACACACATTAGTATTCTCTATATCTACACACACACACATGTAGTATTCTCTATATTTTACACATTCTCTATATGCTGTGGTAGTACACACATGTAGTATTCTCTATATTTTACACACATGTAGTATTCTCTATATTTTACACACACGTAGTATTCTCTATATCTTACACACATGTAGTATTCTCTATATCTTACACACATGTAGTATTCTCTATATACACACTTACACACATGTAGTATTCTGTGCAGGCAACGTATGTTACAGGCCGAGGCGCCATCTTCTGTGTATTCTACTGAATCTACTCCCGACGTTCACTTTGCTGTGTATCTGACACACGGGACTTAGCTCCTCTGTCTGACTGACTACCCCACCGCCCCACCTCTCTCTGTACATGTGTTGGTAACGAGATGTTCAGTTACCCATATTTGGCTTCCAGGAAATAGGTTCAAGGAGGAAGACGCAGCCCAGATTGCCGAAGCTCTCACAGTAAGTCCGTCGGTCAAATGTCATGGTATATTTGAAAGAGGACTAACATTTAGTCTCTGAAATGAACAGATTTTACGGAAAAAAACTGTTCCTAAATCATATTAATAAAATATAATAAAAGGGAGCCCAGAGATTGTTTTCCATTTGCAGAAACTTGCGACATATCCTAGACTTGCATGTGTTAGGTATATTTGTTTCAGGGTCAGTATAACATACAAAGTTCAAAGAAATACCCAAGCATTTGTTGAATATATTGTTAACTTTGGCCTTTTCACTTTAGAAAAATACGACATTAAGAAGCCTTGATCTCAGTCACAACGAGATCCGAGATGGCGGCTGTAGGCTCGGCAAATGTCTCGGTACGTCACACATCATTTTCAGATGTTTCCATGTTTTCCACATTTATCGCTTCAGAGACAAAACTGACTGATGCAATGATTTACTTTACCATATGGGGCTGTATTATATGTGAACAGTTGACTTGTACCATATGGGGCTGTATTATGTGTGAACAGTTGACTTGTACTATATGGGGCTGTATTATATGTGATCAGTTGACTTTTACCATATGGGGCTGTATTATATGTGAACAGTTGACTTGTGTCCGTGTGTGTTTGTGACATGTGCCATGGAAGGGGAAGGGAAAGGGAAGGGGAAGGGGGAAGGGGAAGGGGAAGGAAACAATGCTCACGATCGACTCTGCCTAAAGCAGACATTGTTAATCAACAGGGAAAAGGTGCTGTTGCTTTTATTTGATTAAGGTATTCATTTAATTTGATGCACTTCGCTAGGTAAGACTAGTTTCATTACAATTTAGATTTTGGCAGTTAGGTAGGTAGGAGGTATAGCTAGTTGAATCCCCTGCCTCATCAGGCTGACATGACTCCCTTGAGGCAACAGAAACATTGTTAAATATTGTTGAGCCACTGACTAAATGTGTGTGTTTTCCTAACAGGACTAAACTCAACATTAGAAACGCTGAACCTGAGCTGGAACCACCTGAGATCAGCGGGTGTGGCTGGAATGGCTGCTGGCATCAAGGTAGCAATGAAACATCCAAAACTTTCATCACAACATTGTACTGGGAGCACCTGCAACAAGATGCAATGCCGATTTACAGTGAAAACGTCACTTGTAGAGCATGGCCTTGCATCAGTTACAGCAGTCTTGTCATATTACTACCATTGTGTTTGTTGGGCATAGTGAGCATTAACCAGGAACCTGGCTCTGTGGTATATGATGCATTACTTGAAGAGGCTGCTCTCAGTAAAAGCTCTGTCCAGAACGCACTAACCACCAGGTGAGATGGATCTATCTGAACCACGTGTTCCAGGTAAACAGCGCCCTGAGGACCCTGGACCTGTCGTGGAACGGGCTGGGGACGGAGGGGGCGAGGTCTGTGGGCAGGGCCCTGAGGGACAACGTGACCCTGGAGGAGCTGGCCCTCAACTCATGTCGTATTGGGCAGCAGGCACTAGGGGAACTCCTCGGGCAGATGAAGACAAACACAACCCTGAAGACGCTGAAGGTGACGGCAGCACGAGAGTCTGAACAGCATTGTTCGCAGAATATTACTTTAAAACGAATTTCTAAAGCTCTATCTTGAGATAAACAACATTGATTCTTCAGTCTGATCTACTTGAGTAAAGCAGATATAATGAACCTGGAGATTATACGGACCGAGGTAAGATGTAGGAAAATAGTTACACACTTTTCTGTGGTGTTTTAGCTGAGCAGTAATCCGATCACCCACCAGGGCGCACTCTATCTCGTGGAATTTCTCAGGGACCACCCATCTATGGAGATTAACCTGGTGGAGATATCGGTGAGGACTTTGAACATCGTAGAAAATAAACTGATGATAAACTGATGGCCGTTACGCCAATACTAGCCATGTAAATAAACTGATTATCATTGTACTGATTGTAGGCTTACGCATGAACTGATTATCATTGTACTGATTCAAGGCTTGTGCACATGAACTGATTATCATTGTACTGATTCAAGGCTTGCGCATGAACTGATTATCATTGTACTGATTCAAGGCTTGCGCATGAACTGATTATCATTGTACTGATTCAAGGCTTGCGCATGAACTGATTATCATTGTACTGATTCAAGGCTTGCGCATGAACTGATTATCATTGTACTGATTCAAGGCTTGCGCATGAACTGATTATCATTGTACTGATTCAAGGCTTGCGCATGAACTGATTATCATTGTACTGATTGTAGGCTTGCGCATGAACTGATTATCATTGTACTGATTCAAGGCTTGCGCATGAACTGATTATCATTGTACTGATTGCACATGAACTGATTATCATTACTGATTGTAGGCTTGCGAATGAACTAACAGTCGTTGGACTGAGTGTAGGCTTGCGAATGAACTGATTATCTTTGTACTGGTTGTAGGCTTGCGAATGAACTGATTGTCATTGTACTGGTTATAGGCTTGCGAATGAACTGTACAGTCTGGAGGGATGAAATAAACTAATGGACAGTGTACAGACTGTTTGTTTTGTTTCAGAAGAGTGTCCAAATTATTTGAGTTCATGTGTTTCTTTCTGCAGGATGTGGTTGTTTCTGGGGAGTTCTCCAGGCTGATCGACAGCATGAGGTGTTTCCGACCGACGTTCCGTGTCGTCCATGGCGACGTCCTCAGGAGCAAGGACGCTGTATTGAGAGAACTACAGGTGCCTAGGGTGAAGGTGCGTGACCCGTTTGTGGTGCTGATGGAGCATGTTGATTCCCGGGACATGAGACTGGTGGACCTGTTCACTGCCCATGACTCGGACAACAAAGGTGTCGTTTCCCACCAGGACTTTATTAGAGCAATCAAGGTATAGTTGGGAACAATGTACACAAACATGTGTAAACTGTTGTTAGGGTAAATCCCCGCTGTGTCCGCCAAACACAGGTAACACACAAGTAGAAACATGTTGCCAGTAGAGAGAATATATGCTTGACGAATACGTTGTCCAAATACTTTCATGATGGTGTGAGCCAGTGGTGTACCCTTATGGCTTAAATGTTCGCTCGTCATGCGTGCAATATTCAGTGCTTAGCAGAATTTTAGTATATTTGTGTTATTGTCCGTCAAACTAATACCTTTTTGTTAGCATCATGTACCACTAGCCAACAACTGAGTGTGTGCTGCTGATGCTACAACTGCTCTTTCCTCTCAGGAGGCTGGGGTCAACATCGGGAAAAAGCAGGCACGCCAGCTTGTGGACATGCTCGATAAGGACTGTAGCGGAGAGATAGACTTTGTGTAAGTCAAGTTGAAAAATAGGTAACATTTGTACTGCTGTCTGAATTTTACACACATGGAAGTGACCAAGTATTTTCTATAATTTCTGCTATAAGCACAATTGATGTACGATACTGACGAAACGTATATATAGAGCATTGGTTCATGAACAACTGGTAAACCACTAATTGCCACATCGTGACCTTCAGAGTCTTCCTAAACTTGACCAACATGTTCAAGACAAACTTAACACGGAATAAAGACATGACGGTAGAACAGTGACATTTAGACAGACCTCCCTACTATTTCACTGTGTAGGGAACTGATCGACAGAGAGAACAAGTACAGAAAACTCCGGGAAGTACGGGTCACATCAGGGCATGGGAGCCAGGGCATCATGACAGCAATGGCAAGTGGGAAAGCGGCATCAAATCAACTGCACCAAGCAGACACCAATGAGAATCACAGGTAGGTGCACACAGGTTCGTCATGCTCCACTGAACAGCAATCAAGGGTGAAAGACAAGGACAGCACATATTATTGACAAGGGACAGCTTAATGTACAGGGAGTCATCCCGTTTGATCGGTAGTATCACCCTGTGTTTAGTATCACATTACACCCTAACCCCTTCCTGTAAAAAAAACACACCCCAAAAGAATAACAAAAGCCAACCCTGAATTTGTTCACACGTAGGCATAGACCAGGTCATTGAGAATTTCAACAACAATTTTGACTAAGTAGTCATAATCGAATGATACTACTGCACAAAAATGTTACTTCATTTTTACATCTGGAATATTTCCATTGCAGACAGTGACAAGTGAAATTTTGAGAAACATGCTCATTACTCAGCACATCCTCTGTTCATGAAGCTGTCTCCGTTCCTCCATCCCACATTACTATAGGACAAGGTTGTGGGTACAGAGACACCATATACAGGCACATCAGAACCGAAACCTGGAGTTGTAGCTGCTGCGGTCCGTGGATATATATACAAGAACAGCCCTGTGAACCACTAGGTTTGTCAGTGTGCTGTTGGTATGTGCAGTAGTCATAATAGCAGTCTTCTTAGAACAAAACACAAGCCATTATTATATGTTTGTTGTTTAACGGTGCACTCAGCAATATTCCAGCTATATGGCGGCGGTATGTAAATAATCGAATCTGGACCAGACAATCCAGTGATCAACAGCATGATGGGATGCTATGTGTCAACCAGTCAGTGAGCCTGTTCACACGATCCTGTTAGTCGCCTGTTGCGACAGGATGAGCATCGATCTACGCAAATGGAATACGATGTGTCAACCAAGTCGGCGAGCCTGTTAACCCGATGATCGATCATGTTTAGTTTCACGTCGCACTGAGCAATATACCAGCTATATGACGACCATCTGTAAATACCTGGACCACACAATCCAGTGATCAACAGACTGAGCATCGATCTACGCAATTGGGATACGATCACATGTGCCAATTCTAACCTGGTTCTTCACGAGTGGCCCAGTCTGAAACAACTGCCAAGAGAAAACTATATTCATGTTCATTATGTTAACCAACATTTACAGCAATGTCAAGCAGCTTGTTAATATCCTGATGGCAAGCAAGAAGCTTACAGCAAACACAGTGACTGACGCCTTTAACCTATGACCCAGAAACAGTGAACCAATATTCAACTGATCTGTTTTGCTCTCAAATCCTAAGTTGAGGATCATGCACTGACCTGATGTGAAGTTGATGTAACTTTTGTACATTGTTTGTTAGTAATAGCTATATGCAAATAAATCTGCCGAATAATACTGTCAAAACACAGTGACTATCACCTCTACCAAGTAGTCAAGACTAGAAAATATCTGACACAGCTGAAAGTTATGTTTTGTAATTGAAATAAAAAAGAAAAGGCTTGATAGTTTATTGTACTAATGACTCTTTAACATACTGAAACAAGAAATACTGGTGGTGTCCTGTTGTAAGTTCTGTGAAAGTGAACATTGTGCCTGTCCCTCTGACTGCCTCCTCCAGGAGACCGAGTCTTGAGTCTGGGTCTTCATCCGTCAGCTGGGCAAACACCCCTCCAGGCTGCAGCACATCAACCACGCCAGAAACCAGCTTGTGACTCCTTTGTACTCCAGCCACTGGGTCCTTCAGCAGAGCATCTGTAGTGCCCTTGTCAAGCACCAGATGGAAGGTGCCTGGCATGTAGGGCAGCCTGGTCAGGTCACACTGCACACACTGTACACTTGTTGCAGGGTGACCTTGCTGGCTCTCCCTCAGCCAGTTGTTCTGAATGTGTAAAGCTTCACTCACATAGTCTACAAGGTGGAGTTCAATAGGTACCTCTGTACAGTGAGTGTACAGAAAACTGGGGACGTCGGAATTCCCACATCCTGCATCCATAACCTTCAGGTTGTTGTGTGTAGAAGAGAGTCTTGTGATATGGGGCAGCAGCACAGGGTACAGTGTGTCCCCTGACAAGAACCAGTCAAACGAAGTCTGATGGTGAGATGGCAGTTTGTATCGTGACGACCAGTACAACCATTTGCTCAGCTTCTCGTCCGATGCTGCAGCAGACAATGAATGCAAGATACAAATCTACCTGTCAAAGAAATGTTTTTCTTTCAAATATTTGATCACAGTATAGGTGGAGACCATGACTTTATAACTTTCACATAAACACTGCCATACCATTGACACAATTGATAGTATGACAGGTGGCTTGTCCTGACACATATCATAATATTTGACATTATCTAGAAGAAATGTTGTGGAGTAAACACTCCTGCAGTCCAACCACCCCTCCACACACGTTAATGCACACGCACTTCTATGGATCTGCATATTCCTAAACCCACTGCCAAAGACCAGTCCTACACATTAATTGTTTGATCAGCATTCCAGAGGTGAGGTGAGGTGAAATTGGGTTTAACGTCGTGCTTGAGAATATTTCGCTCATATAACGATGTGCATGCGTGTGTATGTATATGTGCGGCTGCTTGTACTTGCCCAGACTTAAGCTGGTTTTATCGTGCTAGCCCACTGAGATACCATGCCCCAGTGAAGCATGAATACCCCACCCAGACACATTATACTGACTCCGAGCCGACCAGTCCTTGTTGTACCAGTTACTGCTGAGCGCCAGGCAGGGACCAGCAAGTACCATATTTTAAGGTCTTTTGGTATGATGCAGTCGGGGATCGAACCCGCGACCTTCCGCTCTCTGGACAGACTCTCTAACCACTACACCACGGAGGCGGTCTCAGCATTCCAGAAGTTGGTGAGTCAATAATGAAGCATACAACTTTATGGATAACAACTTCTTGTTTATTGCATAGAGTGAAGTTTTGGTGTAGATTCTTACACCATTATCAAACTAAAAGTGACTACAACCAAGTGATGAGAAGTTTACATACAGAGTATGTTGTGACAAACATCAGATTCACATCAACAGTAGCATGTAATTGAATATCAACTGGTACATGACTTGATGATGAAAGTTGGGGAGTAAGAGTGGGTGAGCGAGTATGGTTTTATGCCGCTTTTAGCAATATTCCAGCAATATCATGGCAGGGGACACCAGAAATGGGCTTCACACATTGTACCCATGTGGGGAATTGAACCCTGGTTTTCCACATGACAAGCAAACACTTTAACCACTAGGCTACCCCGCTGCCCCAGGGAGTAAGAAGAAATAGCATGGCCCATGAGGCCAGTCAACAGAGATGCATTAAGTAGTAAAAACAAGATGATAGGGTGCTTACAGATAAAGTTTATAAAGCTTTATAGGCCAATGATATGTAGAACCCTTGGTCTTTGGTCAAGGTTTGTGGCAAGGGATTTTGATGGCCTGCAAAAGCTTTCTTTTCGCGAAATCCTGATTCTTGGTGGATAGGATTGATTGGGTAATATTTGTTGATTATCTGATATGGCTGATATGCTGTCCACCTTGGCTGTTGAGGTTTTGTGCTTGTTAATGCGGGCGTCTATGGGTCGGGAGCTTTTATCTATGTAGGAGTCACCACATTCACAGTTAATCTTGTAAATCACTTCTTTGGGGGAGTTGCCATGATCAGAAAGAAAGTCACAGGAAAAAAAGATCACAGAAAAAAAGTCACACTAACCAATTTTATTAAAATCAATGTTATGTTAACATCATCATGATCATAAATCATAATTAGATAATGATAATTAATATAGTCCTCACAGTTCTACTAGCCTTTGGAGATCAATCAGAATTCTTTATTATGTCGAATGTTCCACCCAACCCCATACAGGAACTCTGGGATTGATTTGCACTCATAAAACTCGATCCCTGTACAAGTTCTGAAGCTGTAACTGCAATCTGATGTATTTCGTCTTCACCTTCTTCTTGGTGCCATTGCCTACAGCGTCTTGAGAAATCATTGTTCTCACAGTAGCCTGTTCTTTCTTGAAGCCAAGTCTCAGGTCTTCTTATTAGGTATTTAAACAATCATCACACAAAAAGATTATAGCTCATTGTGGTCATAGTGTTTGGTAAACATTTGAAAGACCCCCACTTTATTAACTAAACACGGTGTACTCGCTCTAACACATAAATAGCGTTTTATGGCAATTATACAACCCACTAATATATATTCATGTGACTTTTGATGTGTTTGTTTTTAAACAATTGTGCGCTTTGAGCATGCCCCTTTGTGGTATGGAGTATAGCGTAATATAAGTACCCTTATTATTATTATTCTTGTATTGTGACTTTTTATCTGTGGCTTTCTTTCCTACATCTGGGTTACGGCCATTAGCTTGGAGGACTGTTCTGAGGGATGGGGGAATCACTGAAAATGGTGTCGATGCCTGCTTTGTGCAGTCTGCTGATATGATGTTAGGTATTGCCAATGTAGATTAGAGCAATTCTGATTGGAGCAGGTTCCAGCTCGGTCAGTTTTGGCCGGAGTGTGGTCGAGATAGTATATATACTAGTATATACTGTGGCATATATAAGGATTTTACTGTCACTTCAAAGGTTTGTAAATAAGAACAGCGAGCCAATCTTAATTGCTGCGAAAGTGTTTTCTAAGCAACATATTTTTCCACGTAGAATATTGCCCATGCAACATTAAATACCACTCACCATTCAAGCTTGTCAATGTCCAGCACCTGATGCCCTCATGTGTCACCACATTAATACTTACTCAAGAACAGATACCGTGGATATCATGCGATACATCTTCTGTGAAATGATCTCTTCTGTTGGAAGCGTTCCGCCAGTAAGGCATACTACGCTAGTTGCCAATGTCCACAATCGGGCTCTCATAGAACTACATTCTGTAAGTTAGTACTGGCTAGCGAACAGTTATCGCCAAGACATCAGCTTCACACATACGCCATTCTGGTCAATGACAATTCCAGTATTTTTCCCCACGGTATTTGACAACAATACAGTAAAGGTCAGCAAAAGAAAATTCTTCACAATAAGTAACATGAGTGAAAACTTAAAGATAAAGCTATGAACCCTATAAATTGTTTTTAACTTAGTTGGGGGGATCCTATGTCACACGATCTACATAATAGCAAGTTCAAGTTCACAAGTCATTAAATGTTTCATTCCTATCAATCTACTGCAAAAGAAACACTCAAATAGTCATGCAATCAATTATTCGAGGTTTGTATACATTCTTTCACGAGTAGCATGAGAAATTCTGAAATGGCGATAGTTCATGCTGTACTAAAATGGCGATTACTGTTACAGTTTGTTGTGAGAAAACATCTATTTGTACTGCTATGATTCCCTTCCTTAATTCTGTTTCATTAATTTAACGAACGGCAGAGTAATTTTGTAAATACCGCTAATATGGCGATAGCTGTTCGCTAGCCAGTAAAATGTAATTTTTGAGTAAAATTGATATTTTATACTTATCCTGACTCATGCTCTTTGCTTGTCTCCTTCCTCTCTTGCTAACATAGTGGAACACTTGTATCTCCCTAATTGAAGTTCCCTTCAATGTAAAATCACTAATTAGTACACCACGAAGTTACCTCCCTTCCACAAGCTGAACCAGGGCTTCACCTCTACCCATGTGCCTCACTCTCTCCTCATATACTGAGCCCAACATTTGAATTTACAGGGAAATCCAAAGTGTTATTTGGGAGGATGGGAGGGTTGACTCATGAGTCAGGATAAGTATAAAATATCAATTTTACTCAAAAAATTACATATTTTCCTTATCCTGACTCATGCTCTTTGCTTGTAGAATCCAACAGAGCGGAGGTGGGAATATATAATACTTTGGATTTTAATAATTAGTGATTTGAACTGTGATGATTGTAATAACCCTATGAGAACTTCATAAAGGCATTGAACTGATGAATTCTGCTGCCAGCTTATCAGCTGCCATATAGAGGTTATTACAATGTACTTATTATGATAAGTATATATAATATTAATACAATGCTTAAGACTAATAGACTTAAGCTTGTTAATATGCTAGTATAAACTCCTTAGAGTTTGTTAGCTAAAATACTTTTAAGATATAAACATAGCACTAAGCTTAAAATATGATTAATTTTAAGCTAATTATATAATAACAAACCCTTTAGGGTTTGTTAGTTAAAATATTTATATGATATAGACAGTGCTGAGCTTAAGATATGAATAAGCTTAGCTATATATATAACAGCAAACTTTGTAGAGTTTGTTAGCTAATACATTTTACAATATGAGTATAGTATTGTGCTTAAGATATAATTATCTTAAGCTACATATATAATAGCCAAACTTAGTAGAGTTTGTTAGCTAATATATTTTTACAATATGAGTATAATACTGTGCTTAAGATATAATTAACTTAAGCTACATATATAATAGCCAAACTTAGTATAGTTTGTTAGCTAATATATTTTACAATATGAGTATAGTACTGTGCTTAAGATATAATTAACTTAAGCTACATATATAATAGCCAAACTTAGTAAAGTTTGTTAGCTAATATATTTTACAATATGAGTATAGTACTGTGCTTAAGATATAATTAACTTAAGCTACATATATAATAGCCAAACTTAGTAAAGTTTGTTAGCTAATATATTTTTACAATATGAGTATAGTACTGTGCTTAAGATATAATTAACTTAAGCTACATATACAATAGCCAAAAACTCTGTAGAGCTTATTAGCTAATAGATTTATAATGTAACCATAGTACTAAGCTTAAGATATGATTAGACTTAAGCTAAATGTATATAGCAAAAAACTCCTTAGAGTTTATTAACTAATATACTTTTATGTTATAAACATAGTACTGAGCTTAAGATATGATTAAACTTAAGCTATATATATATAATAGTAAAACTCCGTGAGAGTTTGATAGCTAATACATTTTATTATGTTGATTTAGACCTAGTATTGAGCTTAAGATATGAAGTAAACCTTAAGCTAAATATATAATAGCAAAAACCTTTTAGAGTTTTAATAGCTAATATACTTATATGGTATCAACATAGTATTGAGCTTAAGATATGAAGAAACCTTAAGCTACATATGTATAGCAAAAACCCGTCGAGAGTTTGTTAGCTAATACATGATATAATGTAACCATAAAGCTTAAAATATGATGAAAACTTAAGCCCAATATATAATAGCAAAACTCTTTTAGAGTTTTGATAGCTAATATACCTATATGCTATAAACATAGTACTGCGCTTTAAGATATGAATAAGCTTAAGTTACATATATAATAGCAAAAACTCCATAGAGTTTGTT